TGTTGTTGTTGTTGTTGTTGTTGTTGTTGTTGTTGTTGTTGTTGTTGTTGTTGTTGTTGTTGTTGTTGTTGTTGTTGATTTGAAGGTGTTATAGAAGAAGATGTGGGTGTGGATACGGTATTCGGTGAAGATGATAATGATGAAGATGATGTGGCAGGAGTAAGAATTGGAGTTGTTAATGACGAAGTAGGATTTAAATTATTATTACTATTATTATTTGTTGGAATAGATTGTTGTTGTTGGTGTTGTTGTGGTGGTGCGAGTGAATTTTCCCAATCAATATATATATTTTGTTGAGTAAAGTCTAATTGATTAAACCCGTTTGTAGTGGCAGTAGCATTATAATAATTAGATGATGGCACAATTGGTGGTTCGGCTAATGATGATGAGACAGGATTTAAAGCTAATTGCTGATGATGAGATTGCAAATCAATGAATGCAGTTGATGGATTTGATGGTGTTGAAGTAAACGACGACATTGTTGATGCTGATGAATTACTATTATGATGACGATGCTGTTGTTGTTGACGTTGATGTTGATGATGAAGATTCTGATGACTAATAATATTATTACTATTAATATTGTTGCTATTAATATTGTTATTAATAGCACCTAGATTTTGATTTCTTGATTGATGATGATGTTGATGTGACAAATGCTGTTGGTATTGAAAATTAGGCGATGGTTCAGGTTCAGGTGTTGAGTTTGGTTTAAAGATTTGAGATGTAGGAAATGGAGTCACAGTCAAATATTTTTGTAGTGATGGGCTATTTATAATTGTGTTGTTGTTGTTGTTGTTTGTGATTGCAGTGTTGGTACTAGTTATTGAAGAGGTTATGGAAGTTTGATTTGATAATGGCAGAAGAAGTTCAGTTTTAATGATTGGAATATGATCAGCATTTGAATTATTAGTAGTATTGGTAGAGTTAAAGTCATTATTGGTGGTGGTGGTGGTAGTATTAGTGTTATTTTTGGTCTTGATGATCTTTTTGTTATTTTTTAGTTTTGTGGAAGAAGCATCGATATCCATAATGTTCTGTTGAGTTAAAGATGCAGGAGTTAACATATTTTTAAACTGGTTTTCATTTCCATGAATTATAACAAGATCTTTAACGTCACCAACACTACCAACACCACCGCCATTTTCTAAAGTTTTGCTATTATTATTGTTGACGCGACCTTTACTAACACGTCTTTTTGCCTTCTGTGATGTTGGATTAGCAATAATATTTTTATTAATGTTAGCAATAGTGGTGGGTGATGCAATAGAAGCAGCATTGGCAGTATAAGTGGCCCCACTATTATTATTATTTCCCCAATTATTATTATTCCTATTATTATTACCATCACTACTATGACTACTATTATTGTTGATGTTGTTACTATTATTGTTGTTGTTGTTGTTGCTGTTGTTGCCGTCATCGTTGTTGCTGTTGTTGCTGTTATTATTATCAATATTCATATTATAATCATTATTAAATAATCTTGATAGCTGCTTCTGATAAAGAATTTCCAAAAATCCAGAATATTCTTCAACTCCACAATATCCTTTCCCTAATCTTCCGCATCTTGCTAATTTTTTTAAAGCCTCCACCGACTTTTTTGCATACTTTATCGCACTTTCAGAGTAATCCTTATGATCCTGATGACCCCTATGATCCATATTCATGATACTTATCATGGTAGATTGAGTTAAACAATAAGCCGATGCAGAAAATGTGTAATAAATTCCACGACTATCAACGGGTATACAACTCGATAATTTTGCGATGTTTATTGCAGCATTGTGGCAAATCTTCCTGGAGTCAAAACCAGGATACTCTTCCGGTGAATCTACGTAAGGTCTGTGCAAAGTGATTAAAATAGTATTGTAGAATTGATGTAGATAGGCAGCATATACATGTACAGAATTTGGTTCAAGGTCTTCCAGTTTATCGTTGGGAGTGTATTGCAGATGAGCTGGTAATGCAAGTGACCAAGAATTTAATGAAGCGTCGATTGCTGGTAATGTGTTTCTTATAGCACCAGGTTGAGATGTGTAGGGTTTTGAGTGTAAGACGTTTCCAAAAATTTTTAATAATTTTGAGTAATGACAATAATTTATAACATCTTGTTTCTCATCACCATCTTCATCAATCTCATAAGGGTACCTTGTATTATGATCATAGATTGGATATGGTTTTCTAAAACAAAGTAATGATAAATGTTACCATAAATAAATTAAATACATTTAATGTAGCCAACTATTAATAAATATTTTAATTATTACCCAAAAGAAGCGCACGCAACAACTTCAACATTCATGATTGCCCAGAATACCCTAGTTCTCATAGCCTTTTCTAGTTTACTGATATTCCATTGAGAACAATCACGATGTAAACCTAAATCTAAAGCCATTTTCATTCCCATACCAATAAGCATCCAAAGTCTACAAGAATGATCAGAAGATTTAACACAAAATTGAATTAACAAGCATATAGCTTGTATGGTAGAAAGACGAGATCTATCCATAAAATCATCGAGCAAACCTTATTTTTTTTATTTTTTTTTTTTGAAAACAATTAAATAAATGTTATTATTTTAAAAAATAATTTAAAAAATAAATTAATAATTACTACTCACTCGTTGCTCTCCTGAAAAATAGGTCACCAGCGGTCTCGGGTTTATTTTTATCAAGTCTTACTTCAGGATTATCAGAATAAATACTAGCCACAGCCATCACAGCATTCAACAATAATAAGGAAGGTTGATTGTTTTTATCTTTTATTTGTTTTAAGAAAGTTGGTTTATGTATTAAAGGACTTCTGTTGGAAGAGCCATTTTTTATGAAAACTTGTATTAAATGGTCAAATAAATATTTATCAGGTAAATCAGTGTCACCATTATATTTAGAGGGAAGAGGGGGTTCCGTTGCAATCACACGAAGATCATCTTTACCGTTATTAGTGACTTTGGATATTAAAGAACTTGTAGATGAAGAATATATTGGTGTTGGTGGAGATGAAGTTATGTCGGTAGTTGTGGAATATGACGATACAAAAACTGAAGACGATTCATTTAGAATTTGATTATTATTATTATTATTATTATTATTATTATTATTATTATTATTATTATTATTATTATTATTATTATTATTATTATTACTATTATTATTATTATTATTATTATTATTATTATTTATAGTTGAAGATTTTGATGATAATAATTCGTCATTTATGGTGACTACTCTAGTAGATTTTTTGATTGCTAATGAAGAAATGGGATTCGATAAAATCTTTGAAGAATTTTCGTCATCGTTTAATTTTAAATCTTTAACTGAACTTATAAGTGTACGAATATCCGTAACTAATTCAGGAAATGTAGCAAAACTATTACTACTATTATTATTACTATTATTATTATTAATGCTGTTAATATTACTACTACTATTACTATTACTATTACTGTTACTGTTATTATTACTGTTACTACTATTATTATTAATGCTGTTACTATTGTTATTACTATTATTATCACTATTATTATCACTGTTGTTGTCAAGATTATTCAAAATATAATTTAATTGTTGATTGATTTCACTTCCTTCGAGAAATTTTGATAAAACTTGCTCAATCTAATATATAAATTTTTTGCTCGTGATCAAATAATAACATTATTGATGTAATTATCAGCAGCATAATTGATTTTTTACCTTATTTAATCGTTCATCGATAGTTTCAGCGTAACCTCTTTTGCTACCGGGATGACTGTAACTGCAATCGCTATTATAAGTTTTACAATTACCACAGGTTGGAAAATCACCATCACACTTTACGTGCCTTTTACGGCATCTGTCACAAGCATGACTAATTATGATGATTAAGGAGATAATTACGCGTATAAATTAGTAATTTAGTGATTTCATTAATGATATTTAATTCTTTTTTTAACATTTATTAAGTAGATAACTAAATAGATAAATAGATAAATACCTTAGTCTCGCTCTTTTTTCTCTTTCATTTGTCATTAGTAGCAAGAAACAATCAAGTGTAAGCTTTTCAACCTTCAAAAAATAGAATGTGTAAAATAAATACGAAATTATGAAAATTTAAAAAAATGAATGAATTGAGAAGTGTATTTTTTTCTAAAAATAGATTTTGTTTTGTTTTATTAAGAAAAAATCTAGTGTAACAAATCAGTGGCTTGCAAAACCCAATTGAGAAAATAAATATAATAACGTTACTTATGTTTGTTTAATTAAAATTTATATATAATTGGCAAATTAAATTTTTGTCATATAAACAAAATTTTTAAAATGTGTACGAGTGACTCCGACATAATAAGATATACCGTCAAATCCATCGTCGAGCCTTCATTAAGATTTTCGTGTAAATAGCCGATGACTAATAGTCTTCAAATAGAATAGTCTATACAAGTGAATTATTAATAAATATAAACACAATTTTTATTTATTTATTAACGTAGAATTTGGAAGATTCCAATGATATCAGGTAAAAGAAATAGGCGTTATATTATAATAATCAAGCGGGGGCACCACCAATCCATTCATTTTATATAAAATAGGGTAAAATAAAGAAATGGCAATGATTTACGTTTTTTTAAAGTTATTTATCTCAATCTGGTAATTTTAGATAGCAAACATTAGGATTCCGTTATGATTAACAAGAAGAAATTCAAGTTTTTCTTGTAACTTTATAAAAATAATTGAAAAAACCATATAACTCATGCTGTTAAATATGCATATAGCTGGGAGTCTAAAAGGTGAACTTGAATGTATATTCACTTGCGCTATTAATTCTCGTCGTATGAGAAGAGTTTACATGATATTGGTTATGCGTGTGAATAGTTCTGGACTTCGTGATAAGTTTGAATTGAATTATTATAGTTCGCAGATCAATCTACGAATACGATGCTTTATTAATTTCCATTTCAATCTCATGATATATTTAGAATACTCTTTTTTTTCGTTGGCTATTCAAACACATGTTGTCACGTAGATCATTGATTGAAAAAATAAGATCACTTTTTATATCAATTGAGCGCAACAAATTTATTTTTTTTTTGGATGATCTTTATGCGATTCAGTTAATGCAATAGAGAAGAAGTTCGAATATTTTGAATAATAAACATCTAAATCTTGATGATTCTATAGATTACTGCGATATTTCGGGTGTATGTATGCTTTAATTGTGTTACGAGTTCTGGATCGTCTTAACAAACTCTCGATTCTTGAAAATAAACTAGTAATTAAAATCTGACAATTGTATAGAGAGGGATATGAAGAGCGATCCATCAGTTAATAAGATTATCATTTATCTGATTCCAATGATCTACAAAATTGCATGAATGAAATTTAATTTAATTTGTAATAAATTAATTTTTTATTAATAAAGTTTAAATAAAGTTTAATTTAAATAGGTATAAATGGTATAGTCATCCGAAAGGTTCAGAAAATCCTAAAAAAGCTTTGATTTTCTTTTTTGGTATAATTAATTAAAATGACGCGTCACCTTTATCTTTGAATTTACAATTCTTTTTTTGTTACAAAATTATTATTACTAATATTAGTTTTTGTTTATTATTTTTTAATGATTATTCTATTGATTGATTCTTCTATTCTATTTGTTTCAGTATTTCATTTGTTTCAGTATTCCTATTTAAACAAACAAAAGAATTCCACAGCTTATAAATTAAACGTGTTTAAATTATTAGTACATTTGTTTGTTACTATTACAAGGATCAGATTGGTTTTCTTGGATAATTAATATACTATGCAGAATATATTAAATATTAAATAAAAAATAATAAATAAAAAATCCTTAGTCACATAAACGTTGCAATTTATTCATTTTTCATTTGCAAACGCCCATTTTCCTTATCTTATTATATAGAACAGGAAACATTATTTGTATTATGGAATAAAAGTAATTTACTGCGTGTAATCATTATATATAAAAAATTTATTTATTGGTGAAAAAGAAGAATGTATGCACGCATAATATATTTATATTTAGATAAATCAATTAATTATTTATCCGTGGTGTACCTTAACGGTTAATAAAAAATATTTGTATCACAAAACATATATATTAATATTTATCTCACAGAAATCGAATGTTACGTTTCTCAAATAAATTTTATAACGATAATGATAGATTGTTAATAAACAAATACAAACAAAACCAGGTTTTTTTCTTGTATGAAATATAATTTATTAATTGGAGAAAATATACCTGGTAAATTCTATATTTTATATTAATACAATAATGTACTTTCGAATAATTAAATTATTAAATAATTCCATATGACTATTGCCAAACTTAAAACTGTTTTATTTGTTTCAGTGTTTATTATAAAAAAAAAAAAATTAATTATTAGTTTGAGATTTGTTTATATAAATAAAATTATACATATTTATGGAATCACTCACCCTAATTTGATAACTTCCTGCTTTTGTCATGTATCTTACCCATTTAACACTTTTATAATTACTTTTTTCAAAAACTTTTAAAAATCTTACTAATAAACCTGAAGATGTAAACATCAAAACCTGAAAATCCATTGATATCGGAGGCCTTGACCATACCTTTTTAATTGTTGTGGCTGAAAGTTCTGCCTCACCTGATAATGTTATTTCTTGCTGTCCCTGAAAACGAGGGATTCTTTTATTGTGTAATTATGATTGGATTTAGTTAGCAATTATATAATTAAATCAATAAAATTAAACAACAACAACACAACAACAACAACAACAACAACAACAACAACTACAACAACAACAACAACTACAACAACAACAACAACAACAACAACTACAACAACAACAACAACAACGACAACAATCACAAATAATAATAATAACAATTATAACAACAACAACAATAACTACAAATAGTAATGTATTTACCTCCAAAAAATATGATTTTCCGCCGGAACATATTTTGCCTTTCCAGATACAACACGTATATTAATATTTGCAGTGTTTAATGGAGTAGGGATTCTTAACACAACCTCATTTGCATATAGTTTTGATGAAAATGTTGCTTTCACAGTTACTCTATATTCAACACGAGATTTACCAATCTCATTGACAACGGGATGAACACGAAAAGGAAGAATAACGTTTTCTGTAGTACGGTATCTTTTTTTATTATATATAATAAGAATTATTATATGCTTTGATTTGTAACTCCAAAATATAGATCATAAATACCTCATTAATTCAAATTCGCCATCTGGTGGCACAAAAGTTATAGTACGGTCAGAATCAAATTTACCCAATTTAACACATTGATGAAATTGAAAGTCATCAATTTCAACGGCATTCGTTCTTCGTGTACTAAATCAATCAACCAATAATAAATAAAATAAATAAGTGAAATAGCCAGCATAATTATTTCCTGGTAATGAGAGCAAATATTGTCAAACTGTTAAAATACATCATCATACCTGCTTCTTTGAGAAGAATCTTTATCCAATAATATTTTATCGTTTAAACCAAATTTACATTCTGGCGTGCCAGAGAGATAAGCTCTCATCATAATTTGACCAGAAACATCTGCTCTCAATATTGTACCTTTAGTACTCATCAAAAGATTAACTGATTCTATGACATCTATAAACGCCTCATTCTTCCTGTATTTGATATCGGATCTACGCCACGAAGTAGCACCAGTTGCTTGATTAGTGATTTTTGATGAATCTGTTTTCTATAAAGTAAGAAATAATAAGCAAAAAAATTTTTTAAAATATAAATATATATATATATATAATATATAAACTTACAAGTGCTCTTTCAGATCTTACACCTTCTGTTGTAATATATAGTTTCAATGTTTCAGTTTCACTATTTTGAGGATATCCAAAATCCAAAATCTCTAAAATAAAACAAGAAATTAAATCAATTGATTACTAAAACAATTCATTAATTTCATCTTCTTCATCTTTTTTTTTTTTTTTGCAATAATTACCATCCAATAATTCGTATATCAAAACAAAATTGTTTTTAACAGCCTCCTCATCAAGCTTTCCAAAATATGATTTTCCTATATTAATAAGCCTATAGCAAAATTCAAAAATTAAAGCAGCATTGGCATTACATTTTGTAACTGCCACTATATAAAGGTTTTCGTGACGAACATGAAAAAATGAGGTTGATCCAAGTGTAATGATTGGAGATCGAACATCAGTATTGGAAATTACTTGAATTCTAAAAATATCTGCCACAGATCGTCTATAAATGAGATATATTTATAAAGTTAAAGCAACGTTCACGATAGAATGATAATAATTAACAAAGCAACAAGCCTTATTCAATACTACAGACTTTAGATCTTGACGATATAATCTTGAGATGAGAACTTCGCCCTTCTGGTTATATATGAAAAATGCGCTAATCATTTTTTTATATAGAATGTTTTTCCAAGGTAATAGTGTATTAATGTTACCAAACTTTAAGTGTAACAAACAGATACTTGACGACCTTGATAGGTTGGTTTTTTATTTAAATATTTTTATTTTTATAATATTTCTTTTCAGCTTTTTCAGCTTGAATTATTAAATATTAATATTAGAATCTTGATCTACATTTTTAGAAAAATTTTCGTGCCATCACTTGACTACATTCTGTGTTCCTGCCTGTAATTACAGTTATAAGAGCAATAAAATATATTTTCTTTTTTTCTGGAACTCAGCACAATGATATATCATCATCAATCATACCTCCAGTTTTTCTGAAGGACACATATTTGAAGCTCCACTACCACTATCAATACAGTAACCTATAAGAGATCATAGATATAATAGATTCCAAAAAGTCCATTGTTTTTATAAATAAATCTCTAACGCAATTAGAGTAGAAGCTTAAATGTCATACTGGTATTTATTCTTTTCATTTAAAATAGCGTAAACTGGTGAACAAGAGAGAAAAATTCAAGAATCTTGGAAATGGCCTATTTGAAATCATGAATAAAGTAATAACTGACAACAACAAAGATGTTGTGCTTACAAATAGAAATAGAAACAGAAATAACAAACATGTGCTCTAAAAGGAAAGTTAGAAAAAGAAGAAAATATAATAAAGTTGCAAAAGTAAAAGGTTTTTTTTGTACAATGTTGTCGAAGACAATGTAAAAGTTAAATATGCTAATGATAGAATCGCATTTATTCGTTTTTGCTATTACTATAAATGAAAAAGCTGCTCAAAATCCCTCCTATATTATTATTGACTTTTGGGAAATAGATTCATGCCTTATGATAAATGATTAAAAAGTAAATGATAATCATGGTTACTATAAATAGTTGTGAAAATAAAAATTTAAACTTCATTCACTTCATTCATTCAATAAAAAAGTAAATTTCAAATTAATGACATACATAATTTTATTATTATCGTTGTTATTATTCATCTAGTTATGGAATTGCCAGCAGATTGTTTAGGAGAGATAGTTTGTCATTTTCAAGGAGATGTAACGACCTTATATTCTTGTATTTTAGTGAATCGTCTCTGGTGTGAGAATGCAGTACGATTATTATGGAGAGATCCTTTTCGAAAAATTAATGAATCTATCACAACAAGTAATGATAAAGTAGCTTTGATAGAAACATATGTTCGTTGCCTTGATTTAGAAGATAAAAGAAAATTATGCTTAAAGAATAATTACTTGTTCGACATATTATTAAAGAAACAAGTACATGATGTACAGCAAAAACAGCAACCTCCACCAACTTTTAATTACATAGAATTCTTAAGACATTTGAGTATTGATGGTTTATATAATAGCGTGTGCTCATGGATATATTACAAAAGAAGTATTATTAGGCAATTGTCATTCACAGAAAAAGATATTATAAGTTTATGTTGTTTATTACACAAGAAATTTATGTTTGATGCGTTATCAATTGATTTAAATCTTAATTTTAATCATTGGCCATCATACTTGTCATTTTTATATAATAATTTAAGTGATGCTAATAACAACGATAATAATGATAGTATTAATGGCGACAATAGCAATAGGATTAGTAATAACAGAAGCGGCAGAGTTAATAAATTAGTTCAATTAAAAGAATTGATTATTTTTGCGCCAATGCCAAACTGGTCAATTTTCAGCAACTTGTCAAAATATGTAAAAAAATTACAAAGATTAGAAATCTACTTACTTTCATATCCTTCAACACCGTATGAAGCAAAGAGCATAGCAAATTTTATACAAATACAAGAAGAATTAGTACATTTTAAATTAATTTATCGTGATCGTCTTTTAGCATCTTCACCAATATTAAAGAAATTCAACTCATTTTTATCACCACGGATTAATGATCTTGATGGTAACAATACGAATAATAATTTGTTTAATATGTTACTTCGGAATAGTCTAATAACAGATGAATCAAGGTGCTTACCAATATTTCTCGACTCTTTAAATACAAAACTAAAAACTTTAAATCATTTGGAATTTTCTGGAATTTCATTTAAAGGGGATCTGACATTAAATTTATTATCAAATTGCTTTAAAAGTGTCGAATCATTGGAACTTAATAGTTGCAAGTTTCCATCATCATCACCAACACCAACACCACCATTACTACCACCAATACCAACAACCAATAATCCTTTTAATATCACATTTCCATCACCATTTTCAACGCTATTATCATCTATTTGGATGCCACCCGAATTACCACTTTTACATAAATTTGATTTTTCGCCTACAGCAAATGAAAACTTTGAAAATTTTCTATCGTTAATTGCAAGAACAAAGAATCTTAAAGAAATTTGCATTTATAATATCACTGATTTATCATCATTTTTATATGGTTCAATAATAGAAAATATTATTTTATATTGTCCAAATATTAATAAGTTATCTTTACCTTTGAGAAGGGAGGATTTGCCAAATTTATTAAAATTATTAAAAAATTGCAGAAAATTAAAAGCTTTAACTATCTTTGATGCTGACAAATTTAGTAAAAAACAACCATGGAGTTCAGATGATTTGGGTGACGATAATGGTAACGATGATAACGACAGCAATGAATCAAATAAATCTGTTTGTAAGGGATATAATAATGATAACGAAAAAAATGATGTTAGTGGATTTTTGCCTCAATTTGGTAGTTTATTACCTGATACTCTAAAACATTTGGAAATCGAGTCACCTTGGTGGTTTACAGCCGGTTCATTAGAATCATTTCTAATCAATTCTAAAGCTCCATTGGAAATTCTAAAATTTAAAAATTCCCATTGGATAATAAATAATCAAAAATATTTGTTAATAGTTGAATTTTATTTAAATGATACTTTGAAAGATAAAAATATTGGGCCTGGAAAAAATACACAATTACAAATAAATTTGGGAATATGATAGTGGTATGTAGTGATGATGATGATGATGATGATGATGATGTTTTTTGAAAAGAAAATACGAGGACAATTTTTTATTTAAAATCTTTTTGTAAAAATTTTTTTATTCATTTATATGTAATTTATATTATTTATTTATTTGTATGCATTAAAAACTAAAAATTTTTATTTATTTTTTTTTTATGTAATTATTATATATTTTTTTTTTTGAGCTGAAGAAAACAATAAATTATTATTACATTTCTTGAATTTCTTTATATAAAATCTACAATTTAAATAAATAAATAATTTTATCTTTTAATCTTCATTAATTTTGAAATTCATATGAACTTTTGGTTGAACAGTTGTAATGGTAGATAATAATTTATCTATAACAGAATCCTTATTATCTTTAAATGCCATTTGGATTGATTCTAATTTAATTTCTGTCTCTGCGTCTAACTTTGCAAATATTTGATCTGATGAACCTAAATGCTAAAATAAATAAATAAATGAATAAATAATTTAAATAATTTATTTATTAGTTAATTATTAAATAAATAGTTCATTCATTATCTAATTTATTGTTTTCTCTACCTCTGCTTCAAATGCTTTAAATTCTAGATTTTTTTGTTCTTTCAAGGCTTCAATCTCTTTTGCTGCTTCAGTTCTAGCAGCTTTTAAACGATCAACACGATCTTTCCCCAAAGAAAAAGTATAATCAGAAAAGTTACATTATACATGATAATAATAAATTGTGTTATTGAATAATTACTCTTTCTTACATTGACGTGCTTTCTCAACAATCATTGAAGCTTCTTTTTCAGCTTCCAATAATTTTTGGATACCTTGAGAATTTTGTGCTGCCTTTTTTATTTTCCCATTTCATTAAACAAAATAAATTAAAGAGTATAAAAATAGCAATAAACTTTTTAATATTATTATATTAATTTACTAACCATAATGTTGCTTGTTTTTTTTTTAGAGTTAATGTTAAAAATAATAAATCAATAAATTAGAAGCACAAGATTGAAAGATTGATCTGTTTTATTGTATTTATGAATCGTGTAACGACAACAAAAAGTTGTCCTCATAGAATGTAAAAATTTCCTCAAAGTACAAAAGTTCAAATTATTTAAAAATGCCAATCGAGACCATGTGACGGCGATAACGGTAACAAGAAATATTGGAAACAAGTATCAGGAAATAAAGCAAACAAGTGTGTAAAAACTTATTTGCCAAGTATTTTGCTGAATCATTTTACCAATCAGAAGATCATTCTATATATTGCTAGTACTAGTTTTTCAGAAGTACACGTGAGTCACGGTATAATGGATATTTAACTAGAGACTATCTGCAAAAAAAAACTGAATTTAATTGGATATTTTTGTAGATAGCTTCTAAATTTGTACTAGTTAAATATCCGTTATACCGATACCGAAACTCACTGTGTACAACTAAGAGCTTACAGCCAAGAACAAGACCAAACTAGAAAAAGTAAAAGAACAATTATAATTCAATGAACTAACAAAAAATAATTATTCAGAAAAACAAAGAATTAAAAAAAAAAGGACTCAAAAGATTCAGTCACCAACCAATCAAGAATTGAACTTGTTACAGGAAGGTGCGTAAAATATTATTATCAATCTAATTGATAATCTACTTTCGACAATCTTTTAACGTTTCCACCTTTTGAATAGCTTAGTAGACGTAATCCAGTTGTTAGAAACTCTTATTAATAATTAAATGAAAATCAACATGAAAGCAAATGCTTTTTACGTGTTTTGAAATTTACAAAATGTTTCTTTAATTTAGCTGCTTCGGCAATAAAATATTCGTTGTCAAAATCTAGAACCAAAATTGACATTGATAACCATATATTGAGTTCAGGTAACTTATGAAATGTAAGAAAATTTGACCGAAAAGCTTAACCACTTCCAAAAGGGTATTATTTATGGCATTTAACAATGAACAAAAAGGCCAAAGAAATTATTTGGATCGTGGCTATGTTACAAGTTTTATTTCGATCCAATTCTTTCAATAACAGCAACAACGGCAATAGATAAATGGTTACGATCAATAGTAACAATAATTTCCAATTCGTCCAACAATAGTAACACTAATTCTTCTTTCACGATTTCTTCGATTCGTCCAACAACAAGTCAACGACAACTGCCACTAATACAACATGAACAATTAAACAATTTGAACCAAGCATATCAAAAATTCTTGAAACAATTACAAAAATATATCCAACAATACAATGAGCGACAGCAAGAACAGTAGTAATAGATAAATGGTCTTGATCAATGACAACAACAATTTATTCAATTCGCCCAATAACAACATCATCATTTTATTTTTTATTGATAATTTTATTAATTGTCATTTAATATATTTGCAAACAAACAATACCACAAGTACAAAATTATTATACAATTTTCATTGAAAGATAATTTGGTTTGGGGAAAGAGATTTCCCCATATATTTGGTTAGAGGATTATTAGTTTTCCCATTGTTATTTATTTGTTGTGTTTCAGAATTTAAGCTATTCTAGAGTGGTAAATACCTACCTTATGCATTTTACCCTAATACTAACGCTTGATCTTCAAGAAGTTTCCGGGGGTCATTAGTTATAATTTAAAAATTTTGGCGCGTCAAAACTTTTAATATTAAACTATTATTTCGTCTATTACAACACAAGAGAAAACAAATCATATATTACGTATTAGAACAAATCAAGGGAGAATGTAAATCACGTATGGTCTTCTAAACCTTACATTGGTCGTCAAGAAATTGACCCTTCACAAGATACATTCATTGGAAACTTACATCTTGAAAACTTTTACATTTTGAAACTTTTTATTATAACAGAAAATTCGCACATTGAAAGCTTTTTGTTAAACTAAAATAGACACCAGCAGTTTTTCCTCTCTTCCGATGTCTTTACAAAAAAACAATATTACTTATTATTGATATTTCATTTTCTGCTAATATAGTACCTAGTGGTTCTGGAAAATCCACACGCCTTTTATATTCGTATTTGATTATCGTTCGAGTAAAAGTGCATCAGGTAAAAATTTCTCAACTTATCCATTCATCTCATACAAATTTGAATTATGTGCTGTTGAAATATATTTTCAAAGAAATTTATGATTTGGTATTTCAATTTTAAAAAAATTTTTTTTTTGATTATTATTAATATACATGTGTGTCGATTACAAAGTTCTTTCTTTGTAATTAACAGTAAATATACAAAAGTCTTGACACTTTTAAAAGACTGTGCATTGATTTGGCTCTTCTAAACAATTAAATCATTCATTCATGAAACTGTTGTGCGTGAAAATCAAATTTGAAATTAATTAAATTTTGGGATGGATGGGTGTTTGAATACAAAATTCTGGTTGGCTAATTTGAATTTCACGTACAACAAAACCAAAGCTCCAAATGATTATGAAGATGGATTATTAGAATAACTTGAGGATATTATAGGAATCTCCCAATGCAAATTTCTTATTGAAAAAGCCATTAAAAAGTCGAACAATAATCTGAAAAATTATATCATGATCAAATAGTTGAAAACAAACATTATTCAGAAGTATGCATGGAGGATTCCTATTATTAATATTTATAAACGAAGGGAATCATTATTGCTATTGCTATTATCATTAATTCAGAGTGAGGGAAAGATGCCGAAGATTTTTTTCGTGATGAAAATAGACTCGCAATGGGACAATTAATTCAAGTCGTTTGAAATGAACGATTAAAAGAACGGTTTTAAATATGAGACATGTATTCATTGGAAGCAAAATAACTACACAAACTATACGCGTAATTAAATTTTCTTATTATTATTATGTGCCTGTCCTATGCATCCGCTGTGGCAAGGCCTGATTCTACGTATCTTATCCAACAAACGAATTATAATTAAACATAAAAACGTGATTAGTAAGTAATCTTGTTTCGACGAATTTTGAATGAATTTTCTTATGTCCAGCCACTTCATTGTAACAAGGTTATACTGTATATTTATTAAATATTTTGTTTCTTATTATAGAGTCGTAAAATATATCATAAAATTAAGCATCTACAAGTGATTTTGAAGCTAATTTAGTTTCTCGGAGTAATTAGGGAAAGTTAAAAATTATTTTTATACATGTATTTTTAAAAACAAAAAACAGTCTGCTATCCATTCATTTATTTAATGGTTTTATTTATTGTTGTTATTTAAATATATTAGATCCAAGTAAGTGGAGAGGCGATTGGTTACTGCTGCTTTATTCTCTATATTTTCTGATATAGACTATAATGATATATGAAAGCATCAAGTTTTAATTTACTTGTAAACTATTGATACAAAACTTGAGCCATCATGTTTAATTCATCACAAACAAAAAAGTTTTTAAATAAAGATTTTTAGATGCAACAATTATCGTATGGATGATACTAAGAAAATAATTATAAATTTTCATTATCACTAATAAAACAACGACAATACTGTTCGAGTTGTTTTGCATTTAAATCTGTTGCTAAACTTTCTATCTCTTCCATGTTTGTTCTGTTAACCAATTGAGAGAGCTTTAATTCCATAAAATCTTTTAAATGATCTAGTTCATAATTATTTGCTAATTCAAGTAGGTCCCTAAATAATTCCAAATTTTCCAAATTTGATATTTGATATTGATTTGAACTTTGATTACCCCAAATTGCGTCATTGATATTCTGACCGTATAAGTAACGCAACAAAATCTTCATCGAGTTGGAGCTAACATTTCCAATAGTGATCCTAGACGGATTAGCTGCGCTTGACTTTGCATACTCTTCCGAATTGAATATCTGACGGAAAATCTTAGAACTTGCAGCAAGTACATATCGACTTGCTCGTATTTCTTCACCATTTACAATAAAAATAACATCATGCAAAAAGTTCATGTCACTTAATAAAAATCCTAGCGTGGAACTTTTGTTTATATTTGTCTGATCATATTCTCTAACCTTTATTGTGAAACTTGGTGGTCTTATTTCTTGGACACCAGCATTTTTTAGCATTGTATGATATTTAGCAAGACGAGGGTTTACATATTTTTCCTCATTTGGTTCAGCATTCAAAACCAAATTTTTTGCAGATACCCAGTTTTCAGTGTCAAATGGATCTTGATTTTTATTAAAATTAAGGAATAGTAATTCGTTTGAATTGATGTATTCCTTTAGACTGAGACCTTCATTTAAGCATTTTTCATCAAGCCATTCGTAGACTTTAAAAACATTAAAAACGAATGTTTCTTTCCAATTCATCCATTCGCTATCTTCTATAAGTATTTTACGCAAAAAACGGAGGTGTTTGATTACAGTAGGAACATTTGGCTTACCAAGTGATGGATGTTTTTCAAGCACATGCTTAGGTGGTATGACATCTTCTGGAATTAATGGCTTTTGGCTCCATGCAACTTCTTTATATTCAGGAAGTATTACATTTTTAAAGCAATCTAAAATTTGAGTATGATTATAGTATTTACTGTAATGTTTATCCAAACATTTAACAATCGGAACAAATGGAATCCTATCAATTCCATTATATTCAAAACTGTTGATATTTTTATAAAAATGATCAACCAAAATAAATCCACGATATCGTATATCAGATGGTGGGTTACCCAGTTCCTGCAATTCTTCAACTTTCACAGCACATTTAATGAATGATTTCTGATCGATTTTGTTATTGAATCCAATCTTTGCTAATCTTGTTGAATATTTTAAGAGATTTAAATGAAGGAAATTGTTTGAGTCTCCTCCAAATACAGTTCGAAAAACAATATTATTATAATCATACAGGTCAGCAATTTGCTTCAAGTCATTTGTAAACGCATTGGGAAAACAATTCCTTTCCTTTAAATCTTGAGTAATGTTAGTTCCACATGAGAGTATACTATCTATATAATTCACATAGCATTGATCAGATTCTTCAGGATATTCAACGTCTTCAGATGCGTATGAGCGAATGTCTCTTACGGGAGCATTGAGTTCGCGCAAAATCACACTATCCAGATCATCAGAAACTTTTAAAAAATAATTGGTGCTTTTTGCTCGATACATGGTAAAGTTCTTTGGCAGAAGGTACCCTTTTGAAACTGGCACTAAACTTCGTTTGAGTTTTGGCATCGAGGGGTTCTGTCGTGTTGGCCAAATAGGCAGTGAGCGGATTATTGACTTGAGGTTATTATCATTCTTCACATCTACTTTTAAAAATATATATATATTATCTCTAATTTAATTACAAAAAAAACTTTTTTTTTTTTTCAAAAAACTTAAGAAATAGTAACCTATTCCTGACCATTTATTTCGTAGTAATTGATGGAAAGTTTCAATGCGACTAGGTGACAAGCATTTGAAAAGTTTGTCCACATTGGTATTCTCATTAGTAAAAACGACATTGGTGTTATGTGAAATATAATAGTCAGAAGTGATTAATTGGAAAATGTTTTCGCATTGTAGTATACGTTGGAGTACTTTACAACCATAGCTAATTATGTAGTTTGGAAAATTTTCTGTGGCGGATGGAAAGGGCCAAAGCTTTGAATTGCATCTATTAAGATCAATTTTTTTATTATTCTGTAATTTAAGAATTTCTTCCAAGAGCCGGCAATAAACTTCTGGAAGGAACTCAAGCAGAATATGTCTATTCCAATTAAGTTTCTGATGATCTAAATCTTGCAGATTATCTTTTTCGAGTAATAGGCTTGCACGATCTGAACTTTGAGCCCAGGTTCCGTTAAGGTGAACAGGCAAACATGTAGTATCGGGCAATGGAAAAAAAGAAAACATTCTTCCTTTAAAGTCATTCTGATTTTTATTTTCTTCCAGGTTATTTTTTAGGCTTTTAAGTAAAGTAGCAGCACCTCCTAATACACGTAATCGATATTGCTTTGCATATTTTTTCAATTGAGGATCTTCGGGGTCTTTTTGAGCACCAGTTGCAATAATCCAATGGTCATTTTGCTTGTTGTTTGAATCATCAATTAATTCAATTTCCATCTGAAAAACTTGAATTTTACCATTAACAATATTGTTTCTTTTATTTCGTGCATTTTCATCTAATCCAATCACAGTTGCTTTCCAGAGAGAAGTTATTTGAATTCTGAATGGAAATGTAGCTTCTGGTATATGTGACACTTCAATCTCCTCGATATTTCGAAGAAACAAAAAATAGGAAGTTATATTTAATTTGATGCTTTTGAACAATCCAAGGACATCGTCAATAGAAAAAATTCTATCAGATATTTCACTTGGTTGTTGCCTAAGTGGTATTCGGAAGAGTACTCCTTCGAAAGTTGATTGAAAATCAATACCTTCGATGTTTTCAAAAGGAGATAGTTGATCTCTTTCAGAAAACCCACGAATGCCATTTTTGGGAAAAGGACCAATTATGCCACGTTGAAAATGGCCATTTTTCTTTGGCAGGAATTTTTCCTGAGGATCCAAGAACGCAATAGAATCTCCACTGATGAAACTGGGAGCATCAGTGAAGTGGTAGCATGAATTGAATCCCAATCCGTGTTTTCCAATTTTTGTATCATCATCGGATTTTCCACCAACACGTATTTGCATGAGAGAATCAAAATCTTGTTCTTTGAATTGTGCATTATTGAAAAACAAAATAGCAGGCCCTTGCCAAGCCTTCATTTCATCACTAAGTAAAGAGTTGGTAGGGTGTGAGCGACTATCAATGATCACATGAAAACGTGTAGCCCCAGCATCATCAGCTATTGTTTATCGAAGATGAGGATTATAAAAACAAATAAAAGCAAATGTAATAGTGGTATAAAATGAATTCTGACCATTTTGAAGAAATTCTTTAAATATGCTTTCATGAGAATAATCCTAACAAAAAATATTAAAATAATTTAATTCCAAGTATAAAATAATATCATTTTAAATGCATGACATACTTTTAAAATATTACGAATAGATGAAATGAGTGTTTCATTTTGACCATAAGACCGAGAATTTGAGGCCAAAGACATAATTTCCTTCTACTATATAGAATTTTCAAATTTAAATGGATATTTGAAACGGGAAAAACTTTATATGTGAACTTTTTAGCAACTTCCTTATATGGGTTGTTGATTGTGGCTGAGCCGGGTTGAATTATAGTTGACTCCGTAATAGTAATATTTGCAATATGTACATATATAGATATCATTTAATTGTTTTTTTAGCAAATGACCTCGGAAATAAAAATTTTTGACCGGGCATGCAAATGATTACGTAATTTGCCAACATTTGGTGCAGAAATGTTGACTAATCGGATATTAGTAAATTGTAGTTTTTACTAAATTTAGAATAAAGGTAAACTTCGAAATTTGCGAGGTTAATTAAGGGGTTTAATATATAAAAAAAAATTTATTTCTGCACCTAATAAATAAATATCGTAAATAATAATAATCATATAAACTGTAAAAACAGTAAAGCTGTAATTATCAATAAACCCATAGCTATCACAGCTAAAATGTTGAATTCGTCATGTTGAATAATTGTAACCGAATTAATTAACATTTTCTGAAATCTTAAATAATTAATAGTTGCCCAAGTTATCACGTAAAATGCTAAAAATATAAATCCCAACCCAATTGTATTATGTTGCATACTCGATGAAAAAAAACTAATTGATATATTAAATAAGTTGTCATCAGAATTTTGATTTTCACTGCTATCACCACCGTCTATATGAAAATGAATTAAAAATGAAGCTCCTACTAAAAATAAAGATAACCCAGTTTTTAAAAAATTTAAAAATGTTCTTTGAATTGCTTTATAAAATTAAAAAAAAAAAATTAAAAATATTAGTGGTGGAAAATGACAAAAATATCTTATATTAGCTAATAACAATTTACTTACAAAGTTGGTCTCTTGCCATGCTACCAGCATTTTTAATTATTATGGTAGTTGGAAATATTTGAAAAGATTGTTTAAATGTTTCTATGACATTTTTATCATCAGATTCAAGAAAATGTTTATCTGGATCATGATTATTAAATGTTCCGTAACTTTTATTTTGAAACTGTTTTAAAATCTCCATTATTTTTATTTTTAGTTTTTATTTATTGAAATTTCTTATTTCTTATATATATACAGTATATATATTTTTTTTTTAATGAAAAGTCAAAAATTAAGGTTATTTTATATTTTTAAAAATTTGATGATCGCTACTATTTTCTAAAAACAAAGGATTGAATGTATCACGGATGCATTAATCATTTTTTGTGAATCTTGGATAATTTTTTCGTAAAATTATGAAAAATCGATAGAGAATATGGAAGGATTGGCGATGACGCTATAATATGCAGGGTGGAAGAATTTTACAAACCTTAATTTGTGAATCATTTCTATAGTTGGTTCGGTCTAAAGACATCCTAAATTTTAAAAGTATAGAAGTCATTTTCTGTCCTACCTTTTAAAAAATAGCTCTATTAGTTGATGGGATAGGTCTTTAATTTTAATGTATATAATAGAGAGATTTCTCAAAAACATTATTTGGTTGTAGAGCTCTATTTTTTTTAAAAAAATATATTAATATACTTTACTATATATTACTATGCTCATGAGGAATTTGAGCGCTGGTATCATCGCTAAATTTAGACTAGTTTTCGTTCATCAATACTAAATTTGACAGGAGGGAAAATAATTTTTTAACCAAAATCACGTGTAGCCATTTTTTAATATTGGAAAATTCGAGTGTGTGGCGCAGAAATGGGAGTCTTTAGACCGAGCCAACCATATAATTATTAACAATAGTCATTATTTTGTGATGTAGTTTAGTGTGAAATGCAGATTTGGGAGTGTGTTCTGATTAATAAAGCTGAACTTTTATTAAATATAAATTTGGGAGCATGAGATTAAAAAAAAACAAAGTGGATGTTATAAAACAAAATGATTATCAAATATTTGATTAGCAATTATATGTTAATATTCAAGAGAAACTGACAGATTGGCTAGTAAACTGCACTGACTGGTGATTTATTATTAATGTAGTAAACCACAATTTAAATTTTTAGTTCAACACCTTCATCTTTATCAGAAAGTTCATAGCCTTTGCCAAATTATAAATTATACAGGTTCAATTCATTTAATTATGGCGACCTGTGCAGGCTTCTATTTTCGCCACTTTGAAAAAAACTGTTACAGTTGTAAAAAAGGAGCATTATCTATCTTTCTGGGCTTTATGGTGTGTGAATTGCTAGTTCAGATAAATTTCATTTTCATGCACAACATAAATAAATATTTTTCTGTTTTTGCATGAGATGCATGATCATGAAGATATGAGTTATCCTTTTCTTTTATCATCAGTAGATATCCCAACACAATATACAGATAATAAAAAACTGTATTTGAGTTTGTAGAGATTTTGTTGTTGCTATTTAAGTATGTATTTGTTTATTTTCTATCATGCATTTATTTTGAAGCATATATTCTTTAACTTTTTTATTTTGTAGAGAATCTTGATCATTGATCCGTCTTTGCTATTTATGATGAAGATTATTATCAGTACTTAAAAATTTAGACTTTATCATTAATACCATTATGGTACTAATGACAAAATAAAATATTTAAAAAATATTTCACTGCCAAATATTTGATCTGTTTATTATTCGTGTCTATCAGAATTGTCTGATTTTATTAGCATCAATGGTAAATTTCTTAAAATTTGAATATTGAAGCTCTTTCGAACAATAATGAAATTTATCAATATTTTATTGACATGAAAGTAGATTAGGAGTTGGTGGGACGTATTCAATAATTGTATATATTAAATCGGAAAGTGTTAGATTTAGAATAATGTCATCAATTATTATTTGGGGGGGCGTATTAATTGATAATAACAATATAATTTATGATTGTGTGGATCAGAATGAATTTGGCTATCACTAACGAATTAGTTTTATTGGCAAATAATTAGTGATTTAAGAATAGTTATTTAAAACTTTTACTACAAAGTTATTTTACAAGTATGTCGAATCTGAGTTTCTTACATACAATTAAATTCATTAGTAGCGATATGGCACTCTAATTGCGATTCAGCAATTTAATCGCGATATAGTACTTTAGTTGCGATATCGCATTTTAATCGCGAATCTATGTTAATTTCTAAATAAAATCAACTAATTTCGACGCTATACGAAATAATCATAAAAACGTAATACAAGTAAATAGTAAATAAAGAAATAAATAAGAAATAAATAAACGTAGATATAAAGAAAAATAAAGCAAAAAATAGAAATAAAAGGATTTAATTCGGAATTAGGGTATTTCGGCCAACAAATCAGCGTTAAATCCTAATTCCGGTAACAATAGTCTAATGAAAAATTGGGAAAAGGCCCACAATAAAACTTGATATATTACCAGAATTACAGAATTAGTGATTTTATTGTGCAACAAATAATATTTTTTGACTTGAGCTTTTTAGATGAACAATTAACATATTATCAGAGATTAGTGGTCTTAACAAATTAATAAAAAAATATCGATTATATAAATTATTATATTAGTATTGATTTTAATTGGTTGGGAAATATGCCCCAACAAAAAAAAATGCTAACAATAACTTTACCACATGAGCTTTTAACTATACAATGAGGATGATTATACAACATTATACTCGCATTCTTGTCAATAAAAAATGGCACAATATTAATATTCCAATTTTACGGAACAATCCATTTTATTCTGTTGACAGCATTAAAATAATAGTCAATTGTTTATTGGAAGAAGATAAGGATTTCTTAACTAGAAATAACATTGAATTAATTTTCAAGCTGTCAGAGGAGCCACCATTATATAATTATGGAGTAGATTTTATTTCAACTGTTATAATTCTCAATTGCTGACAAAAGATTCTGAATTATATATTTTACAAAATAGATTAATGAATTTTGTTTTAAATCATTCAGCAGTTATTAGAGAGTTTAATACTGTTAATATAAATTGGGATCAGTAAATAATTATTGTAGGTTTGATAATGATTTTCAGAATCTTAATAAATTAGATTGTTAGTAATGAATTTATTGATAAATTAGCAAATATTTGCAAATGTATTCAATCATTAAGCATATATGGTAGATTTAACAATAGATTTAGTTATAGTTTGACTCAGCTAATTAAAGCACAAAATCAAATAAAGGAATTAACAATTAATTCATACACTAGTGAAGCTTAGAAAAAATCATATAGATCAAATATTACCAATGTTTAAAAGTTTAAAGACTTTATCATTATCAGTTATAATGATCTTGATAAAACAATAGAATGTTTGGAAAATATTTCACTGCCAAATATTGAATCAGTGGAATTAAATATTTATAATCAACCACATCAGACTTGTCTGATTTTATCAACATCAATGGAAAAACTCTTAAAAACCTGTATCTTAATGGTGTTTCAGATGATGATGAGTTTTTGGGAAAGCTATTTCAATCAATTGCAAAAATCTAGTAAATTTATCAATATTTTATAAAGATGAAGTAGACCAGGAGTTAATGAAAGTATTCAATAATTGTATTAAATTAAAAAGTATTGAACTTGAGGACCTTGATTTTTATTATGTGGATGGTGATAGAATTTTAGCAGTTTTAAATCAAATATTGCCAAGAAAATTAAAGTCATTAATGGTCTTGACAGATTAGTGGAAAAAATATCAAGATTTAGGGTTTTTTAAGGGTAGAGCATATTTTAGATGAAAATTAATATAAAATCCAATTTTCAACATCATTTAGTATTTAAAATAAAAATAAAAAACTTGTAGATATACAACAAATTTTAATTTTATATTTATTTATTATATATATTAATATATTTATTGTTTATGTTCACGAGGACAAACATTGAATATATGAATGTTTTATTATTATGAAAAGAAGCAATCTATCAGTTACTTTTATTTTTTGGAACTTAATAATAAATCGAATAACTTTAAATCATGATAACTTTTTTTTTCATAATAAAATTAACAAAAATTTTTATAGTTTTATTACTTAAGTTTTGTATAATAAATATATAGAACCTTTTGCTCTATCTCATGTTGGTTATAAAATTTATTCATTAGTCAATATCTTTTTTATTTGGCAAGAAAAAAAAACTCTATAGCATAAAAGTTTGATCTATTTATAATATCCCTTAGTTGAAATAATTTTTCTTTATAGTAATAATTTTATTTTTTCATTACCGTCCACCCCGTTTTTTACAACTGTGTAATAATAGTAATAGTAACAATTTTTTCAATTGTTTTAAATAAAGTAGTGACTAACAAGCAATAGGACCTGGCTAGCTTGTGATAATTATAATTTTAGAAGTATTGAATGAACATACGAATCTAACGATTACTGGATTTTCATCCAGTTATTATATACAATGGAAGAATGCATCAATGATCAAGTCATATTTTATTTTACCATAAAATTAGCCCATTAAGATTTAGAATTTAATCATTTTTTTACATGCCAGTTTTCTTTTATTTACATTTATAGCCAGCGTTGCCAGGAGATACGGACACGGACTGTCTTTAAATGTCCCGGACAAAAATATATAAATAATTAGAGATGTGCCGCGCATACGCATAAGGTTTTAGATATATTTTTTATAGACATTTACTTATTAATAAACATTTCTAAAAAAAAAATAAATATGCCATTTACTTTCTTATTATTATATGCGCATTTATGATATTTCCCTCACTATGATATATATACACTATGCGCACTATGCTACCATGCGCACTATACGCACTATACGCGAAAAAAATCCCGGTTACTATGAACGGCTCTATAAATAATACAAGGGTGGCTTTGATTATTTAACATTATGGTCGAGTTTCGAGTTAGCTTTTTAGCTAACTCGTCAATTAATCAATCAATCAATTATTCTGCTTGGTGCCTCTTTCTTGTACCTAAAAAGCTTTGGCGAACCTGTAAGCACACTTTATGGTAGAATCAACAACGAATTACAATAAATAAGATGGCCCTTCTACGAAGCAACAAATGCTCCTATAGAGTTCCTTTTTTATTTACTTTGCTTTTACTTTTCTTGGGCCGATTGAAGTCATCCGAATGTTTACAACAATTACTTTAACACAATAATCAATATGTGATAATGACTTTGGTTAATAACTGTTAGCACTCAATACTTTTGCCAACATGTCTTAATAATTACAAAAGATTAACGTTTGCTTTCTTTACTAAAGCAAAACAAAACCTTCGCTTATACAAAAGCAAATAACCAAAACCTCGGAATTATATACCACTCTGATAACCAAACGGACAATTAAACTCTCAGTTTAATTTCCGACCATAAAAGTGTTAAATTAATTTGTTTTATTAAATTATGAGAATGTTTATTTATAAAGAAAATAATTTTATATATATTAACTTTCTGCCTCTATTCTCAAGTAAGAAAGGCTCTGAATTATTAATATAAGGTTATTTAATTGCCATTATTTATAATAATTTTTTTTAAAATTTGTGCAAACAATTATAATTGAGTTAATTAGGCTGCACCTAATTTCCCGTCTCATATTTATTCTTGTTAAATTAGACATTTCTTTAGATGCCGAATTATTCAATCTCTCTTGTTTGGAAACCATTTTTTCTAAAAGGTCTTTGGTTTGATTTTAATATTGGTTCTAATAATATGTTGATGGTAAAGGCGTTTTCTCATGTTAACTTGCGGCTTGTACTATTGGCTACGGGGGCCTATTCATAGTAATAAAAAACTATTTTGCAAAAAATATCATTCCAATTAATTAGGAATATTTTATTTTATTAATCAAATCTACCGGATGAATTGGGGTCCGCAGAAATTCAAATCAACAAATTAAAAAAATACCATATTTATAAAACAAAGCAAACAATTACTGGTGAAGTTGTGTTTCGATAGAACTTGCAAAAATCTTGTAATCCATTCCATGAATTAATTAAAGGTTAACTAGAGTAAAGCTTTTCCTTTCACTTTTTTTTTTTAATTTATCAATCATATTCACATGTTAATTAATTTCCAGTCTATTTATGCCATCAAATCTTTTATTATAATCGCGATAGACACCCGTCTTTAACTATAAATTTTTAATATGATGTTTTCTAATTTTGTTAAAGGTTTTAATCTAATTTCGGTAAGTTTAAAATACTTATTTGATAATATAAATAAATGTTTCCCATCCCCAACCATTAATGATAACAATAATACAAAAAAACAACAAGGAAGGTGAGAATGACTGTAATGATTTAGATAAAGTAGCATTATTGGAAGTATCGAAATGTTGAAGTATCAAAATTTTGCATATGAATTTTTCCTAAATCATATAGGAACCCATTTCCCATTTTTCAACAGTTGCATTGGCTTTCTTTATCCTTGACACTTTCTTGTAATTGTTTAATATTAACAATAATTACAAAAGGCAAATACAATTATCTTTTTATATAAATAATTGTCTAGAAGACATGATAAATTCTGCAAATATATTTATAATAATATAAGATATTTATTAAAATAAAAAAAAAGGATCACTGATTAGTTATTAACTCTTCTTCAGAACCAAATAATAACACTTTTAGTATGTTTGTCAATGAATACCTGGATCACTCGTCTAAGATGAATTGTTTTCCAAAAAAAAATAGTCACTCGCCTCATATTAATATATACCGACACAAAAAAATTTTTTTATTATTAATATATATATACAAAAAAATATTTCAAATTCGAGATTCTCATTAAATATTAATTAATTGCTTTTGCTACTTTTTAATTTGACCAAGATCTCCCTGGTTCACGCTTTTCAATCTTGTGTATCCCTGAATCACAGATTAGTCAGTATTTATATAAAAAAAGTCGAAATCTAAGATCTCAAGCGAATCACAACATATTTTTATCAATGTTGACAGTTTCAGAGGAAATTGTTGCCTTGATGCGGGACTTCTATTGATATCAAAGCAAATGGTTTCTTTTTGCATAGTCACCTTTGTGTGAACTTTGAAAAAAAACTGTTTGACTCGATTTTTTGAAACTGGCTATTCCTGAATTATTTTAAGGATAGTTGTGATATTCGTTCTCCCCAAGACCATACCGGGGTGTATAGTGATTGAAGTGAAAATCTTCACTGATTCTGATTGAGGATGTTGTGTCTGCTGCAGATATAAATGGGCCAAAGCTCTCTCCACTAAGAGGTAATTTTTTACAAATCAGCTAATTAAATTTTTCCAATAAGATAAACGTATATAGGAATTTCCATTTTTTATAAGTCATATTCACATGAAATTATGTTTAATTATTTTTGGCACAAAAGTTAGAACTTTAATTTAGGTTGTTGATTGATTATTACCATAAATAATAATAATAAGAGCAAAAAACTTTAGTCGCAACCAATTGATTGGTTCAAAAATTCAAATTTCGGTTAAGCATTAATTAGCAAAAACGCGCATCCTTTAATTTTTTTTGTTATATGAATATGTAATTTATTAATTAATCAAAAAAATATCAGTAAAAATTACTTTTTTTTTTGAACCTCATTTACACAGTAGTTGACCTCATTAATATTAATACGAGTTGTTAAAGAATTGTGCAGTGTTTTACCATAAATAAAAAATTATTATTGCACCTCTTGGTACGATTACAGCGAGGATAAAATACTTTAACAAAAACAGAACTGGTTTTACACGTGACAAAAATTAATATTTGATTTTAATTGGTGGGAAATAAATAGAACTTTTACAACAAAAAATTAAAATTTTCTTTACCTCAAATAATGTTTACAATAACTTTACCTCTTGAACTTTTGACTGAAATATTTAAATACAACGAGGATGATTATACAACATTATATTCTTGCATTCTTGTCAATAAAGAATGGCACAATATTATTATTCCAATTTTATGGAGATATCCATTTTATTCTGTTGACAGCATCAAAATAATAGTCAATTGTTTATTGGAAGAAGATAAGGATTTCTTAACTAGGAATGGCATTGAACTGATTTTCGAGCTGTTGGAGAAACCACCATTATATAATTATGCTAAATTTTGTACAGAATTACAGCTTCTCTCTAGAATTATTTTTGATGGGTTGGTAAAAAAAGCCTCTAGATTAAATATTTTACTAGATAGATTAGTAAAGTTTATTTTAGATCATTCAGCGGCTATTAAAGAGTTTAGTACTTTTAATATGGGCTGTTATTGGGCAAATAATCACCAATTTGATAATAATTTTCAGAATCTTAATAAATTAGAATGTAAATTTACTGATAGTAGTAAATTTATTGATAAATTAGCAAATATTTGCAAATGCATTCAATCACTACACATACATTATAATACATATAACAATAAATTTGATTGTAGTCTGACTCAGCTAATTAAAGCACAAAATCAAATAAAGAAATTAACAATTATTTCATACACTAGTCAAGCATTATCAGATAATTTCAAACAAGCAATATTTACACATTCACAATCAATAATTTATTATTCTGGCATTAGAAAAAAACACACGGATCAAATATTATTACCAATGTTTAAAAATTTAAAGATTTTATCATTAAAATCAACTAGTCGTCATGGCACTAATAACCAAGTGAAATGGTTGAAAAATATTCCACTACCAAATATTGAATCAGTGGAGATAAACATTCATTACCAACCATTTCTATCAGACTTGTCTGGTTTTATTAATATAAATGGAAAATTTCTTAAAAACCTGAATGTTGATGGTATTCCAGATGATGATGAATTTTTGGGAATGCTGTTTCAATCAATTGCACAATGTTGTAAAAATCTAGAATATTTATCAATATTTTATAAAGATGAAGTAGACCAAGAGTTAATGAAAGTATTCAATAATTGTATGAAATTAGAAAGTATTGAATTTAAACAATTAGATCTTTTTTCTGTGGAAAAAATAGATGTTGATAGAATTTTGGCAGTTTTGATTCAAACATTACCAAAAAAATTAAAGTCAATAATTATTAATCATCAGATTGCTAATTTTAGTAGCAATTCTTTTGATATTTTAGTAAAGAATTGGAGAAAACTCAAACCTTTTACAATAAAATTTGAAAGAATATCAGAAATTCAGAAATTAGTGTTATTGGCAGATTAATAAAAAATATGAAGATTCTAAACTAAATTACATGTAAAGTTTTTAATATTATTATACGTAATAAAAATATTTTTTTGTTTATTCCTAGTCAATCTCCAGCTTTAATTGTTGTTTAGCTTTATATCATTATTTGTTTCATGTCCAATACCATCGACATGACAACCTATTGTCAATTTCCAATTTCCATTTCAATAGGTTTGCCACAGTAAATTCAAAACGTTAACCCTGAGTCATCCCTAAACATCAGGGTATTTTTTTTCATTCAAGAATGAATAAAAAATCAATCACTTTTGAATATTTGATCCAAAATTCTACACTATAACTTTTTTTTTATTTACGTGATATAAGAAGAAAACAAGTTATATCATAAAATTTTATTGGCGAGATGAGAACAATCTTAAAAATGGTTCTAGCTTTAATGTTTATGTGTCCTCAACAAATGGACACATAGATTATTGATAACTTGTAATCTTCAAAATTCCTCTATTTAACATTTTGACATTCTATTTTAGTTGTCCCGTTTCCCAAAAAATAAATCTGACTTCGATTCATGATGTAAAGATGGGAAGGAAGAGCTCCGAGTTTTATTGAAATTGAATTTAACCTTTCTTTGTTTTTCAATGAGCCTGTAAGAAGCCTCTCGAACCCATGCATAATTTTTTACATCAAGATAATAATAAGTAATGAGCTAAAAAGCCAAGAAATAGGACACAAAAGAATTCACCGACAGGTAAAATTTTTTGTTAAATGTTGTTATAAGCTTGATTAGGATGTTTTTTTTTACAATTAAAAAGAATTATGGTTATGAATGTCTTGACAAAGCGAAGGAGTTTTCTTAAAATTTGGTTTAAATAAATTGAACTACACATTCGTTCTTTGACGATTTAGGATGGCCAACATCTAACTTACACATGATTTCAATGTGCATATTACAACCTCTGCTGATTTGGTCGCCAAAAGATTGTCAATTGAAAACGGCTACGTCAAACCGTCTTCGTTTCCCACTCACGTTCAGCTGGCATCCTTATGTATTTATTATTTGTATGTGGATTAGCGTTGGTTTCCAAACTATAGAGTTTCGCAACTGTGCAAAAAGGTTTCGTCACAAGTTTCTGAATAGTCAGGATTTAACCAATGCTTTTAAAGATTTTTTTCCAATTACAATTAGTTATTCATGCCAGGTTCTTCGTAATGATGCCAGTAAATATTTTGTAATATCTTTAAAAGATCGTGCAATTGATTTGATTCATGAAAGATTTCTCATTTTTCAGGTAATTCGAACTACATGTTCATTCTTCAACGGATCATTTAACAATTCAGTATTTAGTATTAGCATTAATATTAGTATTAGGGATTATCAACATCCAACGTTACCACAGTAGATTTCATCAAATTGACAAGTTACAAATTAATTTATTAATATATGTCAAGCACGCATATATTTATATACACCCCAAATATATAAATACATCCTGAATCTCTCTGCACTGCAGGGTAAACATCTATCATAAACCTGTTCATGATGTATCAATAAAATCATACCCGCTGGTCTGTACACAATGATGTATGACGAAACTTTTGGCTTTAGTCATTGACGTAACTAAAGTATTGGCTAAAGGTAGTTTCTCACCAGGATCATTTTAACGATTGGACTAAAGTAAAAGCCTTTGACGCATGTAAAACCACTTGATGTAAGTAGGAACACTTGATACAAGTAAAAACGCTTGATATAAGTAAAAACACTTGATACAAGCAGCAATAATGATAATGATAAAATAGGATTATCAAAAGTTCCAAACTATGTAAAAATGTGTGTCTCGGGGATGAATAAAGAATTATTATATCATTGTATGTATATTGCAATGATCTTAGAAGAATAATTATCATGGGAAGTTTACAAATGTTATAATTTGAATTAGAACTTTTACTTAATTAAACTACTTATTTTTTCTTCTTTTTTACAAATTATAATGTAAATGTTTTTCTGAATTATTGACTTTGAAGTTAGCCACACATAATAGTAATACGTAAATAATATTAATAATATACTTGAGCAGTCTTTGGTGTCTGAGTTTGAAGGTTGATCAATACTGGTACTTAGAACGATCTTTACATAGCACATAAGACAGATTTTAGTGCATGTTTTAATTTTGTTTTCTATTTTTATCACTTTTAAATCTTCAAAGAATGCTGAAATTCTTTCATTGTTGAATCACGATAAATCGATCACTAGAGTTTGGTGATGATGAAGTTGTTCTTTAAACCATGCAATTTCGTTTTTCAGTCCATCCTTATCAATTAATCAAAAACTTAATGTTGTACGAACAAATTGTTTGTTACACGTCATTCAAAGAAAAAGGAAACAATGTAACCGTTATTCTCCACATTCATTAATATTAATATTAAAACACCAAGTCGAATTTTATATTTTATATTTTTATATAATGTCATATGGAAAATTGTTATCATCGTTATCATCAGAAAGGAAGGAATCTGTATGTAAAATTTATAATGAAATGTATAATAATGCTAATGTTAATAATTCTGATAGAGAAAGTAGAAAAGATTATTTTCTTCCATTAGTCAAGAAAAACAAGGAGCTTTCTGAAAATGAAAAAGAATATTGTAAGGAAAGGTTTATTTATCAGGATGAATTAAATAATGCAACATATAAAGAAGGAAAAGCAAAAGAATGTAACAAGTGTAAATTGACAAAATACTCTAATAGGTTCTGTGAAGGTTGTATTAGTTTACAATTACAGAACCTTTTCACCACTTGGACTTCTGGAAATAACATAGTTGACAACTTTATTCAACAATGTCAAATGAAATCATCCCTGCCAGACTGTATTTTAGAATGGATACCTTTTGAGCAATTTGATGATATAACAAAGTTGACAGAAGGTGGATTTAGTTCAATTTATGC